TACCACCAGAACTTCTTGCCTTTATCCCTGGAGGCTCTCAAATATGAAAGTATCAGTTTTAAGTTGCTGAGTGATCTCTCACAGCTGACAATGGAAACTGCTCATTGGAGACCCCGTTCAAGTGGTGCGCAGGGCCAGTGAGGTACCTGCCAGCCCTTAGATATGCCTCTGATTGCCCTGGAAGTGATTGCTAGGTTGTCTCGTTCTGAGATCCAGTCTCAGAAAAGGGTCTTTCCTCTCTTCATTTGGGAAAAGCCTTTCTTTGGGTCCCAAGCCATATTGATACAACTCTGCCGTGTCTCAATTACTAGCCCATAATGAACGGGTTAACAATTCCCCTCAGACCACTCTTGAGAGCAGAGGCACAGGACTTTCAAAATAAACAGAACCCCAGGCAATAAATAAGCCATGGGCTGGAAGCTTTGAGGTCTGCCTGTGACAGTTAAAACTTCAAGAAAAGAAGGGAAAAATCAGTACTTGATATTTGAGCTCCTTATCATTTCTACTTCAGGCAGGTTTTTTTCCAAAGACATTTTTCAGGAGCTACTGGCATTGGTAACATGCTACTGGGCTTAGCTGTTAAACTAACCTTGGAAGGTAAAGTAGCTGTTAAAAGTTCACCTCCCAGCCTTGAGCCAAATTGGCCACTCAGCAGCTGCTTCTCCCTCACGTCTGAAAATTATGTTGGCTGTTTATGGTACAAGGGATGACGGAAGAGTGAGCTTTGCTGCAGAACTAGACAGAGATACCACTTGCTTCTGGGACCAGTGTGAAGCCCAATTCAAGACATGTAGTCTCCTCTGGGGCAGCTCCTACATCAATCAAACACCAGCAGGAAGAGCCAGCCACGTTTGCCTGCCTTCCACATTCCACTAGTCTCAAAATGGTCCCATAAAAAGAAAAAGGGTTTCATGTGCAAAAAAGTTAGAGAAAAATTATATGCCAACTCACCTCTTAGAAATTCACAAGAAGAAAAGTTTTGAGTATTATCTAACCCAGCAATTCTGCAACTCATTGGGCCATTTAAAGAAAAGTTTTTACCAAGTTGCCCCTGATTCCATGTGTGTCAGGGTAGAACTGTGTTTCACAGGGTTTTCAACGGCTGATATTTTACAAGCAGATTGTTGGCCCTTTCTTCCAAGGTGCCTCTGGGTGGACTCAAACTTCCAACCTTCTGGTTAGCAGCCCAGCATGTTAAGCATTTGCACTATCTGGGGTCTCTCATTTGACCA